GTGGTCACTCAGAGCCTTGTAAACAGCAGCCAGCACCTAGCGCAGGGCAGGACCAAAGTGGGTAGGTTAGAGTCGGGGGACGGGTCAGCCCACCACACACTGCCCAGGCAGCCAGACAACCTACCTTCTCGGTTACATACTGACAGCGCTTCAAGTCATGGTCCCCATCAGGGAGGATCTCAGGCTCCACGATGGGCACGATGCCATTCTGTGGGGTGAAAGACAGGGTAGCCATGAGGCCTCCTAACCCGGAGCCCCTCCTACAGCTCTCTACAGCCATCAGCTAAGATCTTATCTCCATGATGATGGAGACTCATAGCTGCACAGTTCTCAGCAGACTGTGGGCGAGAGGCTTCTCTTCAGATCCATCCACACAATCCCTGTTCTGCCCTCTGCTTACAAAGCCCTCAAGTGAGGGAGAGAGGGATGCTGGGAGATGTGTGGCAGGCTAGCTGACATTCTGGAACAAAATGAGGTGGGAGGTGGCCTGTTGGGGACCTGCAGGCCCACCTGCTGGCAGATGCTGGCATAACGGGCCAGAATGTTGGCATTTTCCATGATGGCAAGAGATGAGGGAGTGTGCTCCCCAATCTTCAGCACACAGCGCCACTTGGCAAAGTCTGCTCCATCCTTCTTGTACTGGGCACAGCGCTCAGACAGCCCATCCAGCCCTGGAGAGGGGACGGAGGAGTCAGAGCATGGCAGAGGAGGGGGCAGGTGGCTCCCACTCACCCTGGTTACCCAAGGGGTACCGACCTGGGTGGGTTGGTTGGTAAGGCAGGGAGCCAAACAGTTCTCACCTTGGGTGGTCGTCTCGCCGTTTGTTCCTGCCAGGGGTACCACGCCCTTGTCTACCTGTTGGGGTGGGGACAACAACATAAGACAGAGGAAATCATCTCTAGTACCCTCTTCTCCTCTCTAGTCCCACTCTGCCCCCAACTTTACTCAATCTCTCAGGTGGCATCTCATGGTTTGCAAATGTTTTCACTTATAGTCTCTGATCCTATGAGGCAGGATACACGGGGATGTTATTTGACAGAGAGCCTGGGCTCCTATCACTTCCCAACTCTGCAAGCAAAACACTTTACTGACTTGAGCTTCTGGTTTTTCATCCGCACAATGAGAGTAATACATCACTCTTAGAATTGGAAGGATTAACAATGCCAAGCAGGTCCTTAAGTTTCTACCTTTTCTTATAATGATTCAGGGGTGATCTGTGCCAGACTCCACCACAGTCTCTAGGCTCCCAGCCCAGTGTTCACCCCCTAGCCTACTACTCTGGATTTCTTTCCCCCAATCCATCTGAAATCTCACATCCTGAGGCCCAGCCCCCTCACCTTGATGCCCACAACACCGCCCTTGGATTTGATAACTTGGGGGAAGGGACGCCCATCATCTGCCTTCTGGTAGAGTGTCTCATGGAAGAGGATGACGCCCCCAATGCAAGGATTCACGCGGTCGTCAGCAGTCAGCAGCAGCTGGCGGTAGAAGCGCCGGTTCTCCTCAGTGTTCTCAGTGCCAATGGACTGCAGCCGCTTGGCAATGCTCCCTGGAGGGCAGCATCACATGGCAATAAGGGGATCAGCCTGTCACCCCCAACCTTGGGCCCTCCTCCCACTGTCTCCTGCCCGTACCAGTGGACTCATCTGCGGCCAGGATGCCCTTGCCCGGAGCCACGATGCGGTGAGCGATGTCAGACAGCTCCTTTTTCTGCTCCGGGGTCAGTGCTGGGTATTGGTGGGGCATGGTGCCGGTCAGTTCCTGGGCAGAGGAGACAGATGGGCGAGGACTGCTTAGCTGGGTCTTACCATGGCCTCCTAGTGAGCAGGGCCACTTGCCTGGAGGTCAGGGCAAAAGTTCCTTACCTCCCCTGCCCCACACCCACAGGTCTTGGGGCACTTCCTGTCCCCAGCTCTCCCCTACACCCGACTTCCCTATATTAGGCCTGCCTCCTGTACCTTTCCTAACTCTGTTTGTTGCTGGGTGTTGCCCAGCTGAGAGTGGGGTTGCGTACTGGCATCTGGGCTAAAAGAATAGGCCAGAGCCACGGACAGGCTGGTCATGCAGAAGCTGGACCCTTCTGGCTTGCGCCTTGCCATGGGGTAACTTTGCCTAGAAGCAAAACCGAACTGGAGTATTTTAGAATTTAGAGGTCATGCATAAGGCATAGGGCCCAACCCTCTCACCTGAAAGTACCCAGGGAAGGGGAAGGAAGGTCTGTGCTTCAACCAACACAGAAACCCCAGGGCCAGATCTGAGATTAGAACCCAGATCTTCTGACTGCCATAGGAGTGTTCCTTCCAATCCACCCAAGATCCCAGGGCTGGGCCAGGCTCCAATGCCTCAAGGACATCCCAAGGTCAGGCTTCTCCCCCCAAGATGGGGGGAGAGTGTTAAGAAAAGGGTGTTAGGAAAAACGTAGGAGGGTGATCAGAAGTCCAGGAAAGGGCAGTAGGGGAAGCCAGGCCTGAGGTGGAGGAAAGGGGTGAGGTTTGCTGTTCTCACGGCTCATACAGGGTAAAAGAACGTTAAGAGGCAAGCGCCCCACCCCTTCCCCTGAAACATGCTCCTGTCTGCTCGCTGGGCTGCAGCTGTTCCAGGCTCAGAATCAAGGTCACCCGATAAGGAAAGATAGGCAAAGTGTTAATGGGGCATCAGGCGTTGCCAAAGGGTTTCCCCTCCACGCCATGGGCGCCCGTCTTCCAGGGCAGGGACCAACCACCCACTTTCGCGAACTCTGAGGCAGTCTATGAGGTGACCCCCACCCCTCGCTGCCTCTTAGGATCCCTGCAGAGGCAAAGGGGCCATAATCCTTTGCACCAGGGGTCCTAGCAAGAAAAGGAGAGAGGGAATGGCCCTCCATCTCGTCCTGCTTCCTCCCCGCCATGACTCAGCACGGGGAGCCGCCGCTGCACTGCAACGCAAATGGAGGAAGCTCAAGCTGGAGAGGGTTGGGGAGTCTGGGCTGAGGGCATGCGTGTGTGAGTGGTGGTGGTGGGGGGAGATGCTGGGACCGGGTGAGGGGGCTCCGCGCCGACGCCCGACCTGCCGCTGCCCCCAATATCCTTCTCCACCGTCCCTGACCTTCGCACGTGGCAAGGGGCACTCACCTGGCACAGGAGAGGGGCGGGTTTGCGGGGTGCAGCGGTGGAGCGCGGGGGGCTGCCGAGTGGACTGAGAAAGCGAACACGGCAATCGTCACCAGGACCCTGGTTCTGCGGCGCGTTCCAAGAAGAACGCGGCCTATTCAGCTCGCGAGGGGGCGGCGCAGGGGGCGGGCAGGAGAGCGTGCCCGGCCTTATAGAGGCACCGCTCCACCCTCCGTGGGGTTTTTCCCTTTGCAGGGGGCCGGAGGCACCCCGGCGTCCAATTGCAGGCGCGGAACCGTGCGAGAGGCCGCCCCCGAAAGGCGAAGCCCGAGGCGGCGCTTGGGCGGGGACAGAGCAGCGAGAACACGATCCCTAACACGATCCCTTCCTCGTTCCCTTCGGACGTGACTCGGGCCACATCCCGCGGGTCCCCTCGGCCCTCCCCTCCCTCTCCTTTTTTCCCCCCTCCTGGCGCGGTTTGGGGCGCCGTGACTCAGCCGGTTTTGGGCACCGAAGGAGATGGGGATGGGGGTGGGGGAAAAGCGGGTAGAAAACCCCGAAAAGACGGAGGCTCAGCTTCCCCTCCCAGGCCCGGCCCAGCGGCCCCGGGCAGCCCCAGCTTCCGGCCTGCGCTGATGCAGCGTGTGTCACTTTGGAACAGAACCCGGAGGTCCGGCGTCTCCCGGCCTCGTCCGCAGGCTGGACTTGCGGGCGCTGGGGTGCGGGGCCCACCCCTCTCTGTGTCACTAGCCCAGGCGGAAGAGAGGCGGAGGACAGGGCGGCGAGTAGACGCACAGGGAGCGCAAGAAGGAGGCCAGGCTGGCGGGGCGCAGGAACGCGGCGACATCAGTGCCAGGTGTGCCTCCCGGCGAGTGCCCCCGCCCCATCCGGGCCCCTTCGGTGCCGGGCCGGCTCCCGGGGCCCAGAGGGCCGACCTTGCCCGCGCACGCGCGCTCCGCCTGCGGCCGGGGCGAACCGGCCTGAAGCCCCGACCGCGACGCAAAGCCAGACGACGTGGAAATTGACTGGTCACCGCTCCGCCCAAGCAAGTCCTGGGGATGCGGGGCCAGAGTCCCTGCGAAACGTTTCCCTTGGGCCTGACCTCCCTCTCCAAAATAAAATCCGTCCCCGAGCTGGTCAGCCTCCCAGATACGTTCCGAGTCCCCCATCCTATCGGCCAGGTCTCCTCTCCTAATCTGGACCCCTTCAGCCCAACCCTACCCCCGCTCAGTCCTGCTGGCGCCCACCTGCGAGGAGGCTGAAGAAGCGGGCAGAGCCTGGTCAGCAGCGAGTGAGCCCGGCCCTACCCGGGCTGGGTTATAAGGCAGCTCCTGCCCTCCCCCCAGCCAATGTCCCCAACAATCTCCAGTGACCCCTGCCCTTTCCTCGCCACAGATCCCCTGGCAGGGACCTATATTTAGGGAAACCTGAAGCCCCTGACATTCACGCCAGCGTGGGGCCTAAAATGAGGGGAGGGGGAGGAAGCTGTGGGCCTGCCCTATTTGGGGGGTGGGGAGGAGGGCCCCCTGCCCACTCACCGGTACTTCAGAAGAAATTTCTTCCTTGGAAATTCAGACTGAGGCCCTCAAAAGGTCAAGAGAAATCTTTGGACAGAAATCTGTGAGGAGGGAAGGGGGGTAAGGGGACTCAGATGGTGTGGTGGTCCCTGCCTCCTTCTCTGACCCCCCCCCCCACTCTGGGCCTTGATGGTGGCTGTTGTGATTCTCTGGAGCCATTTCTTTAGAGAGAGAGCAGATGCAGGCACAATGCTCATACCTCAAAATAACCAAGAATCCATGGACCAGGTGTGGCTGGGGGACCCCCAAATCCTGAAATTCAAGGCCCAAGCTCCTCCCATAATGCTGTCTGTGGTGAGCAGTGTCCCCTGCCCTCACCTTCAAATATAATAGATTACTTGGGGAGGGGGAGTGGGGGGCAGGGGCATCTGCCAGAGCACTAGCCCCTCTCTCTTCTGGCCCTCCAAAGGGGCTGCAGTCCAGCCAGCCAAGGGCTCTCTGAGTCCTGCCCTGCAGGGAGCCAGGCTCTCCACTGCTGGTTCCCAGGCTGGTGAGCTGGCCAGGCCATGTGTGGTTCCAGTGGCCTGGAGAAAAGTGTCCTGAGGCCCCTCAGGGAAGAGGGCATGTGGGCCCTGGGGGCTGGCCGCTCCCCAAAGGGCAGGGACTCTGGGTCCTCATCGGAGCTTGATCTCGAAGCAGAGACAGTTGAGGCTCTGGCAGTCAGGAAGCTGGCATGCACAGGCACAGTCGCAGAGTGGGCAGCAGCGAGGGCAGCGAGGGGCCCAACCCTGAGGGAGAGGAGAAAGGGGTGAGCAAGGTGGGCAGGAGGAAAGCGGACCAGAGCCTGAAGCTGTTTCCCTCTCAGGGGAGAAGAGAACAGAGAGGCCTGGAAAGTCCCATTTGCCCAGTGGAACAGAGGGTACCATCCACCATTCTTGGGAACAAATCAATTCCCTGTGTTGTTGAGAAATCAGCAAGGAGGCAACGTTCCAAACAGCTGAGTGCAGGAGCTGGAAGAAATTATTCAGCGGGTTCTTTTCTTTCTTCCCATTTTATAGTGAGGAGCCTGAGGACCAGAGATCAGCTGGCCCTGGTCTCACACTAGGTCCCAATGTTCAGCTCAAAGATGGTTCTACTATATCCTCATGGCCTCGTGCAATTCAAAGTCAGTAGACAGGGAAAGCGCGGACACATTTTCTGTCCATGATGAAAATAACTTGCTCGTTTTGTGGATTTCTTCCTTGGCATGAACAGCTACCCTATGCAAGGCACAAACTGCATTCATGAATGATTTTAAAAAATCTTTCTCGTTTTCTTTAAAAATGATAATTTGCATATTTAAAAATTTTTAATGTTTTAAAAAGAGTTACATCTCTTTTACTTATCAGAAGCTTGAGTAGGGGGGCCTCTTTACAAAAGAGGAAATGGAGCCTCACAGAGGGGAGTGATTGCCCAAAGGAACACAACTAGGGAAGGTGCTGGATGGCCCTGGGCCTGCCTGCTTCCAGTCCTGAGATCCCCTGGACCCACTAGCCCCCAGGGCCCGGAATATCAGCTGCTTTCCGGGTCTGCTAGGGCAGGGACAGTTCATCTCACGTCTCCACTGAGCTAGCACGGGGACTCACACTCAGCAATGAATGTTGAATGAATGGATGAAAGAGAGCATATCATTTTTCCCTCTTTAGGCAAAAAAGGAAAAAAGAAGATTTCTCAGCTCCCAGGGGAAACAGAAGGTCTGTCTCTTGGGGAATAGGAACAGCATGTTCTTAGAGCCAGGATGGGAGAACCGGCCCACTCCAACTCACTCCTCTCCTGCCCCGGGGCCGGGATGATCTGCGACTGCTTCAGGCATGGACTGGAGGCAGGCCAAGTGGCTGGAGTGGGGCACACCCGGGGTGTGTGACAGAAGATTGGCTCCTTGAGGCCCGAAGCAGAGCTAGTGACAGTCACAGTTGCACAGTTCAATCAGACACTGGGCCAAGCCAGGAATAGGGGAATGACCTTTCGAACAGCTGAGGTTTCGGGGTGCGGTGTCAGATGACTGGTGAGATTGGATATCACTAGGGGCTCCAGTGAGGGGAGGGGATCTGCCACCCACAGGAAGTGGGGTCTGAATCGGGCTGGTGCGAGGAGCAGGCTAGAAGTGTCACGGTGCGAGACAGCGAAGTGGCTTCCTTGTGTTTGATAAGGGTGTGGTTTGGGGCGTCTCTGGGGAATCGCAGACTGGGGATGAAGTCGGCTCTGTGGGTTTCTGGAGGACCGCACCGTCATCGTGCGTGTAGAACTGCTAACTGAGAGAAGCTCTGCTGCCCTCACCTCAGAGAAGAGGGGATTAAAAGCATTTTCTTGGCTCCGGCTACTGGAAGGGTTCAGATCTGGTCGTTAATAACTGGCTAATGGATTTCTCGTCTCTCACAGGCAGCCATGTGGCTTCTGGAAGGAATCTGCTGTTTAAGTACATTAAACAAGGACACCACATGACTGTTAACCCTTGCGCTTCTCTAGGCCCTGCAGTGTTTCACCCTGATTTCTTTCCCTTTGATTTTGAAGGCCAGCCATCTTTACTGGTTAGAGCTCAGGCCCAGGTTTGAATCTACTTCAGGGCCAGGTTTGGCTAGTTCATGTTTTGAGCCTCAGTTTCCTCATCTCTGAAACAAATATATCAGCTACTTCATAGGGTCATTGTGGGGAATCAGTGGGAAGAACTAAGCACAACGATGCCTGGTGCATAGATAGGGAGCACTCAAAGGGAGCTATTCTTGTCATAGCTCTCTTCCCCCTTAGCAGTAGTTCTTAATGCTGGTGTGGATCAGAGTCATGTGAGAACTTGTTAAAATTCAGATTCCAATCCCAACCCAGACCAACTAAGCGTGGGGCCTGGATGCCTGGCTTTCTGTTTAAGCCTCAGACCTGCATCTGGTCACACACAGGTCTGAGACCTGACCACCGCACTGCATCGCGTTTCTCACACTCTACTATAATTGCCTACTGATTTCCTCTGTCCTCCAGAATGTAAGCCCTGTGAGGGCTGGTACTGTGTCTGTCTCCTTCCCACTGAGCTCCCAGGGCCCAGCACAGTGCCTCAACAATGACTCCATACATAAGTGGAGAGTAAATAAGTGGATGAATGAATTAGATCCTCACAACATGCTGTGAAAGGAGCAGGGCAGGCAGGTTTCCCCCCATAGAGGAACAGAAACCCGGGTTTGTGTCCTGGCTCAGGCCTCAGGCAAGTCACTCAAGCCTCTGTAAGCCTCAGTTTCTACAGCTGTAATGTAGACAGGAGCTTTGTAATATTTGTGGTTGTTATTGTAACTATAAGGAAACCGGAGAACAGAGAGACTAAGGTACCTTGTAGAAAGACAGTTCAAGGACAGTGTGACCCTGCCCCACCCTCTGCCATTCTAGAATCCTTCCAGCTCTGGCAGAAGCCAAGAAGGATGAGGGCCTGAGGTCTCCAGGTGTGGCATTCCCTGCAGCCCTGGAGGGGAAGGTGGGAGGAGCCAGTCCCTCCCAACAGCACAGCTCACTTCATGCTCACTCGCAGAAAGGAGGAAAAGCCCCCGACTATTCCCTTCCTATTCCCTTACTGCCGACAGAAGAGAAGGGGGCGGCGTCCCCAGGACAGGGGGCTAGAAATCATTTTGTAATTGAGCATCTCCTACAAAATAGGAATTTTTAGGACCCAGGACCTAGGACCTAATTTTTAGGACCTCTTCATACCCTTAGCCCCAGCCCTGGGCCCCTTCTCTTGGCTACCACTGGGAAACCAGAAGCAGATTATTTGAAAGAGGAGCGCTCCTTGCCCCATAATTTATTTTGAAACTCAGAACATCTCCCAGGGATTTACACCAACTACAGTCATCCCGAGTTATGAATTTGCTTGGTCTTTCATCCTCACTCTTCCCTCCTGGGGGAAGGTCACCACTTCAAGGACAGGCGTTTTGCTGTCTAATCTCTGAGCCCAAAATAAACATTGCCCAGGAAGGTGGTCGATTACATTTAACATCTTTAAACCCACAAATGCAAAAATGGCCTGTCCTCTGCGAGCCAGGCTTCTCCCTGAGGATTCTGTTTCAACACACTATGGATCAATTTGCTATGCAAAACTCTCCTGTGTAACACTGGAGAAGTGACTAAACTTCCCTGAGCCAATTTATTATTCCCCTGCAAAAGAAGAATAAAAATACTTACCTATGTACATGGGCAGCCATGGACAGGGGGCCAAGCTGTGACGTCAAGTTAGAAAGGGCAAGTAGCAGTTGTGATGAAATAATGTATGTGATAATTTTACCCAATAATAGTACAATACAGCAGTGATAGTACTATATTAGTATATGAAGGACATATATAACACATAGCAACCTAGGTCAGATAGCTGGTTTTTAAAGTGAATTATATTTTCTATGTATTTCTACATGCACACTTTTTTTCTTTTCTTTGTGAGGAAGATCAGCCCTGAGCTAACATCCATGCCAATCCTCCTCTTTTTGCTGAGGAAGACCGGCCCTGAGCTAACATCTATTGCCAGTTCTCCTCCTTTTTTTTCCCTTTTTCTCCCCAAAGCCCCAGTAGATAGTTGTATGTCGTAGTTGCACATCCTGCTAGTTGCTGTATGTGGGACGCCGTCTCAGCATGGCCGGACAAGCGGTGCGTCGGTGCACGCCCGGGATCTGAACCTGGGCCGCCAGTAGCGGAGCACGTGCACTTAACCGCTAAGCCATGGGGCCGGCCCCCATACATGCACACTTTTAATCAATGCTTTTTGTAATCAGAAAAAATATATATATATATAGGTTTTTAAAAACCTATACCCAGCTTTAAAAACCTATACTCAGGTTTTAAAAACAACCCACCTCTCAGCGTTGTGAAGAAAACTAATAATGTCAATAAAGTGGCGCAGTATCTGGAACATAGCACTCACTCAATGAACAGAAGGAGCTCTGTGACGGGCTCGTTTTTTTCTCTTAACTACCATTTTCAAAAGTGATTATGTGGCCTACATGTTACACACATCACCTTTCTCCAGCTGTCACCCTGTTTTCTTTTCTCCAAGTAGCTTTCATCACCAGAAAGTATCTGATATGTTGTGTTTTTGGCTGTCTCCACCCGATCCAGTATGTGGATCTGTGCCTGGCCTAAAGTAGGTACTCAGCAATAAAACTGTTGAACAAAAAAAATGAATGCACAGCTGGTGCCTAGATCAGGGCTCAGGGGTTCGGGGGATAGGATGAGAACTCACAGGTTCGGTAGGCTGGGGGCAGCAGACATCCAGGTAGTGGGCTGGGCTAGGCAGAGGGAAGTCGCAGGCTTCTGCGCAGGTCCAGCAACAGTCTTGGGGCCTGGAGGTGCCTTGCTTCCTGCAGGGGGAGCTGCAGTCTGTGCAGCAGCCCTGGGCCTAGGAGATGGCAGCGCTCAGGCTCTGGGCCAGGCGGCAGGTAGGAGCAGCCAAGATTTGGTTTTTGGGAGAGGGGCAGGAGAAGGTTCAGCTGGGGACAGGAGGGGAGGGACTTCCTGGTACCACGAAAGGGACAGATGTGGGGACTAAATAGCAAAGGAGTCTTAAGGTAAGGGCCTGCAGATGAGGGGACAGATTGACCGGGTTCCTCTTCCCCACCCTTCAGCCCAACCCCAGGTCCCTCACCAGCAGGCAGTGCCTAGTCAGCAGCACTAGGCCCAGCAGCAACAAATAGATGCCCACAGCGATGAAGACGATGGCGGGGATGGGGAGCAGCAGGGAAGGAGTGCTGACAGGAGCCGGGGTTGGATTCCATGGGCTAGAGGAGGCCTGGATGAGCACAGGAGGAAGGGGTGACAAGGAGGTGGGGAGGGACTGCAGGAACACAGAAATACCAGGAGGGACACGGAGGTGGCTAGGAAAAGGGGAGGAACAACCACCAGATGGTGGGGAGAGAGTCAACAGGACTACACTATCTTGTCCTCCGAACCTGCCTTTTCCCCTGTCATCTCCATTGCAGCACCATCAAGGGCCTGTTGGTCATTCTAAACTCCTGCCACACCTTTTGATCTTCCTTTCAGAATGCCTCTCCAAGCGGGTCTATTGTCTCTGATTCCACTGCCACTACTTTACCATCTTCAGCCCACATTACTGGCCTCTAACTATCTTTCAACCTGCAATTTTGCCCCTTTCCACACTAGCTGTCCTTGTGTATCCCTCCCTTCCTTACAATCCATCAATGGCTCCCCCTGACTCAGTCCAAACTTCTTATCTCAGTGACAAAGGCCCCACACTTAGCCCTGCCTACCTCTCCCTCGCTCCTTCTCTACACTCCAGCCATACTGAAGTCCTAGTAGTTCCCCAAATTCACGATCCTCTCTCACCCCCAGGTCTCTGCCCATGCTGTTCCCTCTGCCTGGAATGCCTTTTCTCCTTGATTACTTGGCAAACTCCTCATCTTGCCAGGAATGGCGGGAATGTGCCCTCCCGTGGGAAGTCCATCCTGGCACTCTCTTCCTGACAGCTCTTGTCCTGGGCTGGAAGGGTCTATGTCGGGGAAAGAGCCTCCTCTCCAGTCCGGGCTCGGCTCGAAGGCAGGCAAAGTCAGGGTGAGTTTAGGGCGCTGAGGGGGCGGCTCCTGAGCGGGGTAAGGGGCCTAGGACTCACGTCCATGGGGCAGGACAGCGCCAGTCAGTCCAGGAGCTGCAGAGGAGAGAACGTCCTGGGCCTCAGAGGCTGAGAGGGGCCACTGGACTGCGGTGCCCACCCTCCTCCTCCCATTTCCCTTCTGGAGAAACTGAGGCCCAACGATGGCCCCTGGACCTGAAAGTGCGGATCGGGGGTCAGGGGAGTCTGGGCGGGGCCTCCTTCGCAGGCCCCAGCCCGATCCAGGCCACACCCCGCCGCTGTCCCCACACTCCAGGCTCCCTCCATCGCCCCACCCCCATCACCTGCACCCTCGGGGCCGCGGGCGGTTCGCGAATTCCGCGCCGCACTCGGTCCAATCCGCCGCGGAAGATGCGCCGCCCAGAAACCTCCCGCTGCTTCTCCCTGTTGCCATGGGGAACAGAGCGCCGCTCCTACGGCGGCCGCCGAGACCCAAAACTCCTTCTCTTCGCCTCGCTTCCTCTGCCTGATCCGCTGGGGCCGCCAGCTCTTCTACGTCGGCCTTTCCCTCACTTACCCAACGGAAAAGGGAAAAGGCGAATTCCCGCCGCCAGCGCTCGAATCGGATTCTCATCCTATGCTGGGTCCTGCGGTGCTACAAAGGGAAGACTGAGCCCCCGGGCTTACACCACCAACTTGCTGTGTGACCGGCCAAATCACTGAGCCTCGCTGAGTCCATTTCCTCATCCGTAAAACGGGGAAAGGGCTGTCTCACAGGGATATTGTAAAAATCAAAGCTACTTGTTAATTGCATGGAATTACCCTCAATATTTTTTCAGCCTGACCCCACTCATTTTTATTGACAGTGCCCTAATTGAAGACTTCATCATCTGGTCTCTTCACCCTTCACATTGCTGTCAAAGTGATTTCCTCCCACCCACATCAGATCTTGTTCCTTTTATAATTTTTAAACCTCCAAAGGCTCTCCCCTGGCTCCAGGATGACGCCCAAATGCTTTAGCCGACTGTCAACACCATCCACTCTGGACGCTGCCTGTCTTCCGTTTTTCCATTCACAACATATCCCACTGGGTGCCAAGCACTGCTCCAGGCTCAGGGTCTCTAGCAGAGAATAAGACAGACAAATTTCCTGCCCTGTGTTGCTTACTTCCACTGGGGGAGGCGGATTAGATAACATGTAAACAAACAAATAAGATTGTTTTGTGTCCCATCGGTTCTTTCAACGTCCCCCCCATAGGATCTGTTCGACGTTCCTGAACCAGTGCATAGGGTTTCACAGCTCCACACCTTTGCAGATGCTGTTCCCTCTTCCCAGAACACCCTTCCCCTCTTTCCCCCCAATGAACTCTTTCCTCATCCTTCAAGCCTCTGCTCAATTTTGCCTCAGGGAGGTCTTCCTGCCAACCTCAAGCAGAGGTGGCTGCTTTGGGCACCATGTACTGCTGTTCTAGCCCTTACACCAGGTATTTGAGTTCTCTATTTTGGTGCCTGACTCCCCAACTAGACTGGGAGTGCCTGGGTCTGATTCATCTCCATATCCCAAGCCCTAGCAGTTGGCCTGGCCTTGGGAGCCTCCAGTGAGTACTCACTGATTCTATGAACGAGTCGAATCCAACTCTCTCCACCAATGAAGTGTTGTTACCCAGACGCCCTAGTTCCCTTGGCTCTTAAGGCACTCAGACCTCCCACTTCCATTCTTGACCTTTTTGGTTCTACACACAAATGCTTGCACACACACACGCACATATGCACACTCAGGTAAGCACACCTCCCCTGCAGAGATGTCAGACTTCATACACGATTGCTGTATCCTGGCATGTTCCCCTGAAAGTGGTGTCACCGTATAGCTACTTTGTCTATGTTCTCCACCCCGCTGTATCTCACCACAGCTGCTGCCCCTGGGAATTTCCTGTACCACCAGGCAACCAGAGAAATTGCCAGGGTGTGTGTCCCCGGTTCCCAAATCTCCCCTCTCACCTTCAACCACACGGAGAGGGTTCCAGCCACCTCCTCTGCCACCCCCAGCCCTCTCAGAGGGGACTTCAAGCCCAGAAAACAGGAGTCTAGCTGTCCCCAATGTCACCATTGTTGATTCTAAGGCAGGGTCAGATTGCCTTCTTGGGGGTGTCTTCTTGTCTGTCCCAATCTTCTTTGCAGAATCCTGAGGCCCCAGATGAGGCCAGTTCCCACCTCAGCCCCAGGAAAGGCCTCAGGTGACACATACTCCCTCCCTCTCTTCAACTCCTGCCAAAAGAGAGACGTCAGCTTTGGCAAGGTCTCTGGACACGTCCATGACCTGCAGTGGTCCACTCACTGCTGATGGTATTCTGTTCCGACCATGGGCTCATGCATTATGCAGGAGGGTGGACAGTGCACCAGGCCTGCTCGTTGCAAGGCAAGCCAATAGGAGGGGTGAGGTATGCACCCCACTTTGCCAGGGCCCCACTTCTACCACATCATGTCATTTGTTGGAGGCAGGGAGAAACCAACTTCACAACAGCTGAATAACTATAAGGCCTCCCTCTCCCTAAAGTTCAAAGCTGGAGATGTCAGATATTATCAGAGGCAGTTTTGCACTGCCCCTGGGAAAGCGAGAAAAGGGTTGTGTGCTCCCAATCATCGTGGGTGGGTGGGAGACCTGAGAGGCAGAGAAACCCAGAAGACGAAAGCAGCCTCAGCAGGCCTGGGCTGGGGCGTGGGCAGGGAACCTGGCTGTTCTGATTTTGATCTAATACTTTCAGCCCCTCCCATGGACATCAGACAATATTGCCTCCCAGAGACTAAGAGGAGGTTCACCAGTCTCCTTATTATGAAAATGAAAGGCCTATGCCTAGGTAATTACCCTGGGGGAATGAGAAGCTAAGTTGAGCTGAACTAGAGCAAGTATCAATAGACGCCTTTACACACTTTGTCTGATTTAATCCTAACAGTAGATCTGCGTGGCAGAAATCATTACATCTGTTTTATAGATGGGAAAAAAGTATGACCCAGTTAAAAAAGAATTTTAGAACTGGGCAAGATTTAGGTTTGAATTCTAGTTCTGCCACAGTGCATCTGTGTGACCTTGGGCAGGTCAATTGACCTCACTGAGCCTCAGTCTTCCTCCTCTGGAAAGTAGGGATTACATAAGAGACTGGTGATGATTAGAGAAAATGTATGTAGAGTCCCCGGCATAGAACAGGAGCTCGTGAAAAAATATAACAACAACAACAACTGCTAAAGAATATCCGAATGGAGATTTACAACGGGCCACGCAGGAACTGTGCTTTGCACACGTCTCATCCACCAGCCCAGCAGCCCCATGAAGACGTTCTGCTCTTGTCCTCATTTTATAGACAGGAAGCCCAAGGCTCAGAGGAGCTAAATCACTTGCACAAGTTCTCCTGGCCGCTGAGTGACAGAACCAGGATTCGAGCCCAGGCAATGCGACTTTGTGTTTATACAACAGAGGCTCAGAGAGTTTCTGACACTTGACCAAGGTCACACAGCCAATCTATGGGAGACAAAAAAAGGGCCTGGACCCTTAGTTTTCTCACTTCAATTCACCCATTGTGGCCCTCAGCTTTTTCTGTTGTACCGATAAAGGGTGGGACTGGACTTGCCTGGAACTGTACCTAAGCTGGGACAGGTACAATAAAGCACTAAATAATAAATGCTCTGGCCCGCTGGCCTGGACTCTCCCCAGAGCACGGGTAGGGGGAATTGGACCCTTCCCTGGGTATCATGTGGGAAACGGGCCACCTCGGGCTGCTTATTGTTTACTTATTCACAGCCTTCGATGATATCACACCTGCACACAGGGCCGCGGCAGCGCTGCACCCGGGTGAAGAGGCTGCGCAAGACAGCATGTGGACAGAGGAGCCTGAAGTAGGAGGAAAGGGTTAACTCCAGGCCCAGGGTGAATTGTGACAGGTCTGTGAGGACCGTGTGGGCGTGAGAGACTCACCTGGGGAGCCAGGTGGGGCCGGAGAGCAGCGGCCAAAGTCGCGCGAGCCTGGGACGGGCACTTGGGTAGCGCCACCGCACGCTGCCCTCTCCGCACCCGCCTTGCCGGCTGCCTTCCAGAGGCGTGGGGGGCCCGGGGCTGCACCCCCAAGCCAGAACTGGCTGGCGTTGTCTCTCTTCCTCCCCGGGGATGTTCAGACACTCCTAGAACGCCCAGACAAGGGACCACGGTGTATGGAATGCATCCCATCTTGGGTTTATTTTAGACGGTACACCGATTAGCAAGAGCGCCCGTGAACACACATGACAGATATTCTCTTTTCAATTCCCTTTCAACACTTCTGATTATTCCAGGAGGAAGTCTCATTTTGCTGCCAGAATCCCTTTAACACCTCTCTATCTGTGCTTATCTTGTCTTGTCTTTTCTTTAAAAAAAGAGAGCAGGCCTCCAGCTCAGAATTCGGAGCAGGTGACAGTATTTAGTTAGAATGTTAGAACAAGTTTTTACATTTCATTTTTTGTTTCCTTCTATTTACAACAAGTGATACTGGTTTTCTATTTTCAGTAGCGATAAAAAGTTTCCTTTTAAAGTACATGGTTAAAAGCAGATACTCTGGAAATCAGACTCCTAGGTTCAAATCCCAGCTGTGCTACTTACTACCTGTGTGAGCCTCAGCAAGTTACACAACCTCTCTGTGCCTCAATTCCCTCATCTGGAAAGGGAAAGTAATAATGGCTTCTCCCTCTTAGGTTATTGTGAGGATTCCATTAGTTAATATATGTAAAGGGCATAGATTGTAAAGGACCTGACATCTAGTATGTGGTGTAAACCCTGAGGTTTAGAGAAGGCTTCTTTGGACCAATCCCACCATTTTCCATGTGAGGAAACAAAGCTTTGGAGAAGATCATTAAGAGGCTGAGCTAGGATCTTGGTAGGTCTCTAGATTCCCAATCCATTTACCAGCCATTTCAATCTTCAAAAATGAATGTAACTTCCCAGCCTTGGCTTATTCATCTGCAGAATGGGACTAATACTATTTCATTGGATGATGGGATGGTGTGTGTAAAGGTGGCTCAGAAAATGAGTTGGTATGATGTCTCATACGAGGGGTAATATCGCCCCCAAGGGGCAGAAATTGGTTCTTGGGAGGCGAAAAAAATCTTTCTCTTTTTAATATATAAAGCACAGATATGCAGTATATTTGTGTTATCAAAATTTCATGAGGAGTGACGATTAGGAAACAAAATGTCTAAAAAAGCCTCCCTAGGGGAGCAATAATGAAAAAAAAATTGGGGAAACACTGCTCTAAACCAAGGTTTTTTCAACTTGGGTTGTTTCCCACAAGTGTGTGTGGAATTGGCTTAATGGGTCATGATGAACATTTTGGGAGAAAAAAATGATCT